TGAATTATTATCAATTTTGCAACAAGTTAAAGATCTTTATAATGGAAATGATAATAATGAAGCAGAAGACATGATATAGGAGGAAAAATAGCAACTAATAAACTTTAAAAAATGAAAACAATTGAACCAAGTGCAATAAGATAAGTATAAAATTGTTGTTATTTATTGTATTGTTTATAACTTATACTAAGCCATTCTTTTTTTTATTTTGATTATAGATTTATTAAAGACTTAGAATCTTCAAGCAATTGATTTGTTTAATTTTATTAATAATGTAACAATCCTCAAAATAATAGGTCACACAAATGGCATTTAATTTTATTATCATATTTGGTAAGAGGAATTCATATTTTTTTTATCGTTTAATTTAAGTTACTTGGCAATCGGGATTTTTTGGTGAAGAATTATACATATTATTATTATTATTATCATTATTATTTTTATTAAGAAAAATGGATATTATATCGTTATGTTATATTGTGGGGAACATAATCATATTTTTATTTTTATTTATATTATTTATAATTAAGAAGTTATCTTTAAATTATGATCAATATTTTCTGGGAAGTCTATAAGCTTCCATACAATACACTTACTGGACAAAAGTATAGGGACGCCTGCAGATCATTGCAAATAATTGAATAAAGTGACATGACAAAAACTAAAAATTTTACTATCCCAATCACACTTGTTTATTAAGTAAAAATTAATCTTCATATCAAATACTATAATATACTGAAGTTTTACCGCATACAATTAAACCATTGTTGTTTTACAAACTTTAAAAGATAAACAATAAAATTCCAGAATTTTTTTAAAAATCTTTAACTCAAAAATTGACTATAATAGCAATTTCTAACATCTTTTATGGCATAATCAAAAAATGCTCATCATGTTCGAAACTGGTTTTTTGCAAAATTTCACAAAGTGTGCAACATTATTACTCAATTTATTGACAAAAACACTAAACGGATTGATTTTTTCCAATTTTGAAGATTAAAAAAAAATTTGCAATCGCGAAGCAAATTTTTATCCAAATTAAACCATATTTTTTTCAAGACTTAAAATGCCCAGAGGTACTGAATTATCTGAATTTGAACGTGGAGAAATTATTGGTTTAAAAAAAGGCGAATTTTTCTTATAGGGAAATAGCCAACATATTAAATAGATCCAAAAGAGCAGTTGAAAACACCATTA